CCCCCCCCCCCCCCCCCAACACACACACACACACACACACACAATCCTAACTTGATGAATTTGCATAGTGTAACTACAAGAATCTTTAACCTTGTCATTGAATGTTTTGACAAAAAAAATTTGCTTCAGACAATTAATAATCTGATATTGTTGGTATTGGGCAGCTATACATGAACAATGCCTGGTGTGCTTCAGGAGTAGTTTGGGCTCGCTCTCCTACAATGAAGAGAGGTGACCTTGTACTTTTTCCTCTGACTGCAGAATTCTGGAGATGAGTCTGCAGTACTGTGGCTGGACCAAATCCAAGAGGCCATACTCGCAGCCAACCAGGATGAGGAAGAGGCTCTCATGTGTATGTACCCAGAGTTGTATTATTTACCCAGAGCTGATATCCTCACCTGTTTAAACAGTAGCTGGCTCAGACCTGGTCACTTCTAATACGACAGACTCATTTAATACTAGATTCTGATTATCTAGAGGATGTGTGTTATTTTCAGCAGGTTAACAGTATTGAACCTGTTAATGCTTAAAGTTTGTTCCAGTATTACTGTGATTTATGATCCTGTTTTTTAATATTTAATGGCTAATTTGGCAAACATACATTCTTTGTATCTGCTTCTGCAGATGTTTTCCCTCTGAGCTGCTCTATTTGGAAGTTAATGCATAATAACACTGATATGATGGCACACAGTTTAAAGTTGCCTATTTTAGGAAATATTGTCTTCTACAGATATTGTAATGTAGCTGGGAATGTGTGCTGATACTGTCAATATGTCACAGGCATTATTTTTTTTAATACCACATTGCTTAATGTGCATTATCCATTGCTTTCTTGCAGCCTTTTTACTGTGCGGTTTTCATATTTGGCTCAACTTCTTTGGTTCAATCTTGTTTACTTTGCTAGTGGCTGCAGCAGTAGCTGATATTAACAAAAAGGTGGCTGAGGGGGACTCCCAGAATACACTGCAGGCCTTACAGGCCCCCAGTGCAGGACTGAGGGCCGTGCTCCCTGAATGTGCTGAAGCCTACCAGGCTGACCTGGCACAGAGACAAACGAACATGGTTCCTGAAGGTAACTTGACTTACAAGTACAAGTACCACCAAAAAGCATGCTCCACTTTGCAGAAACTGATAACTAAAGAATAAAGTCACCTAATTTTGTATTCAGTAAGATTCACTGGGTCTAAAGGGCAACTCTCTGTTTTCCTTCAGACAGCACAGATAGTCTGTGGGTAAAACACTGCATCAAGGACAGATATGCCTATTACTATAATCTGGAGACTGGACAGGGCACCTGGGAGGAACCTGAAGGGTTTGAACACAGTGGTGGCCAGCTCACTAAAGAGGAAATCCAGGTACCTTCTGCTGTACTGCACAGTTTCACTGCTCTGTTATGTAATGTTGTCTGACCATATTGTATCTCCATGATGGAATTGATTTAGTACTTGGGATCAGAATAATAATTGATTCAGTGATATTAACTTTAAAATTGCCCTTTTTTTTTTTAAACAAAGAGCAATCATACTATAACGGGACTGTTTAACTGTGAAAACATTCATTTTCCCCTCAGAGTGTTGTGAGCTGTGTGACTGCAGAATACAACAGGGAGCAGTTATGGTTGGCCAATGAGACCTTTGTGACCCAGCTGCAGGCAAGGGCCAGAGGTTTCCTGGTCAGGAAGAGGCATGCCCAGAGAATGGAGTATCTCCGCCAGCAGGAGCCATATGTTGTCAAACTGCAGGTAGTGAAGAGAAACTGTGAATAGTAACTGATTTCAGACGTCAGATCAACTTCATTGATCCCTGATGTAGCTGTGAGCTGTTTCAGCAGTAAAGAATTCAATCGAGATAGTCAATAAAAATAAAATGTAATTTAGTTTACAGACAGTACATTGACTCTGTTTGCATCATTCTTAAATGAATATCCACTTAACACTGATATTTGTTTAGCTCAATGACAGTTTTGCAGGTTTCCCAAGTATATTTTTTTCCTTTTTGCAGGCTTGCTTTAGAGGTTATAAACAAAGGAAAATTTACAAAGCCAGGATGAATTTGCTTCAGAAAAATGTTGCTTCTATTGTTAAGGTGAGAAATTGTTTGCCTTTGATTAAAAACTATCAATAAAAATACACTTACCAAGTGACCAAATGACTGTAAAGCTGCGCACGTCGTTCTTATGAAAGTTACCACAAGCTAAAATAATAGTTGTATCTGAGAGCTGTAAACACACATGAATTTAAACTGATGTTTTTAGATCCAGTCCCTGGTGAAAATGTGGAAAGCCAAGCGTGAATATAGTCAGAGGTTGCAGTACTTCAAGGATCATGTGAGTATCACCCTCATCTGCCAGCGTCACAGAGCAGCACCTTTTGGTTTTGTTGTTGCATGTTGTGTACTGTAAGATTTAATGTTGTTTGTGTTTTAGGAAAAAGAGATTGTGAAAATCCAGGCTTTTCTGAAAGCCAACAAAGCCAGAGATGACTACAGAACCCTAAGTGAGTCTTGCAATACTGAAATAATATCAGTAATGCAGTGTGATACTAGAAATGGATATTAATTACTATAACATTGCAACATTGGTTAAATTTGTGTTTTTCTGGCTTTCCATTAAAGTTGGGCATCACCAGTTATTATTCATGAATTATAGAATATTTAGATGCATGTACAACATTGATTTTGAGGTATTTGGCCAAAATATTGATATCTGATGGTGTCTGTGTTACTCATCTCCCAATTAAAAACCTAACAGTTGATATGGAACGTGGAAGTATCATTGCATCTGTGTGTTTATATAAAAACAAACCTATATCCAGTACATTTGCTGACTGTCTTCTATTCTAAATGTTAGCGGGAGCCAAGGACCCTCCTCTGTCTGTGGTGCGTAAGTTTGTTCACTTGCTGGAGCAGAGCCCCCTGGATCTGCAGGAAGAGCAGGAAGTGACACGCCTCAGGGAAGAAGTGGTCACCAAGATTCGCTCCAATCAACAGATGGAGAAAGACCTAAATCTGATGGACATAAAGATTGGGCTGCTGGTGAAGAACAGGATCACCCTGCAGGTTGGTGACCTGGGTTTTTATGTGGATAAGGAAAGGAAAGTGACACTTGTATAAAAAAAGAAGATATGCAAACATCATGTAATTTATCTTTATCTAGCTCCCAGTTCACCTATTTGGTGTTTGTTTGAACAGGATGTAGTGTCTCATAGTAAGAAAATGAAGAACAAGAAAAATAAGGCGAGTAAAGATGACCTGACTACAGGAGAGAGACTGGGTATCAAAGGCCTAAGTAAAGGCAAAAGAAGGAAACTGGAGGCCTACCAACATCTGTTTTACCTGCTACAGGTGATACAAAGATATCCAACTCTGCCTGATCGACACCAACCTAACTTTACATCTACTCCACTTAAAAATGTTTAATTTATCCAAATCTAGTTGCAGAAACACACGTTACCCTGCTCCCTCTTTCTTTTGTCCCTCCTGTTTAGACCAATCCATCCTACCTGGCCAAGCTGATCTTCCAGATGCCCCAAAACAAGTCCACTAAGTTTATGGACACTGTGATCTTCACCTTATACAACTATGCATCTAACCAGAGAGAGGAATACCTGCTGCTCAAACTCTTCAAAACTGCTCTGGAAGAGGAAATCAAGTGAGACCTACTGCTCTGAACAACATTATGCCATAATCTCAACTCCACTGTGCCTAGTGTACCCTAACTATTGTAGTGATGTACTGGTTATTATACGTTGTTTGTGTAAGTGAATGTATTCCAACCTATTCATAGTTTGAATCACAATCTGGAATTCCCTTCATAGATTCACACCAGCTGATCTACTGAACCATTTTCTCCACATGTCTCAGTTCTAAGGTAGACCAGATCCAGGACATAGTGACAGGGAACCCAACGGTCATCAAGATGGTGGTGAGCTTCAACAGAGGTGCACGAGGCCACAACACACTGAGGCAGCTGCTGGCTCCGGTGGTCAAAGACATCATTGAGGACAAGAATATAAGCATCAACACCAACCCTGTGGATGTGTATAAAGCCTGGGTCAACCAGCTGGAGACGGCTACTGGGGAGGCCAGGTAGAACTTATTCTGTCACTGACTGCTTGAGGTTTGAGTTACTATTTGGCTGTGCTTTGGTAAAGCTGGACACTGGATGTGTCCAGAGATCTGTTTTGCTCACATTTGTTGTTGTTTTGTGTGGTTACATTGTGTATGAGATTGACCATCAAGGAACATTGTGGTTTCAACTTGTTCGGTGTCTGAACAACTGTGACTGCAGCAGCAGGGGAGATTTTTAAAATGCTAGTTATGCCTAGTTATGATGCACAACTTGTGCATAAATTGACTAAATCACTGCTTAGTGTGGATTAGAAATCTCAAGGAAGGGTTAATCCACTGGAAGTCTCTTTTACACATTTAAATGTTTGCTTGCTGTTGTGTTCCTCAGTAAGCTGCCTTATGAAGTGACTCCCGAACAGGCCATATCACATGAGGAGGTACGACACAGGCTGGAGGCATCTAGTCAGGCATTACGGTCCGCTACAGATAAGGTCCTAAACTCCATTGTCTCCTCACTGGATAATATCCCGTAAGTTCCTGGGCCTGGCCTCTTGTCCTCACTGTTGTCTGTTACAGTTTTGTTTGTCAGTGCTGGTGGAGATTGCGTAGCATGATTTTGTTGATTCTCTAGTGCCATGTTCTGCTTGTTGTTTGACATTTTCCACTGAATGTGTTAGACTGCAAGTTATCCTAATCTTTGGTGGGATTCAGTTTCTAGTCAAAGAAGCAAGCTGCACAAATAGTTTTAATAATACTTTTAATAATTTGTTAGTAATTACTTAAATCACAAAACCACTCATTTCCAAAATAAATGACTAAAGCCTGTATATAGCACTAGGTGGTGCTAATGTTTGATAATACTTATTTCGGCAAACTGTACTCTTAAATAGGCATATAAAGAGACACAGAAACCCATCAATTCTTGCAGTTATTAATACAAGCTTGCTGCATCTTTTGTCATATAGTATGTGAATGCATGTTGTTTTGTCTTTGATGTCCCATCAATGCTTTGTTTTGCATGTAGTTATGGCATGAGATACATAGCAAAGGTTCTGAAGAGCAGCCTCCATGAGAAGTTTCCAGATGCATCAGAAGATGAGCTGATGAAGGTAGAAGTCCTGAAATGTATTAATATATATATATTTTTTCCCATTCACAGTAATAGTACATGTAGATTGTGCTCCGACAGTAGTGAACATGCTGAGGTGAGAGCAGTGTAATTTTACAAAATGTTTTAGTGATGCTCTGTCTTGTTTTCATGTTAGATTGTAGGAAACCTGCTGTACTACCGCTACATGAACCCAGCCATCGTGGCTCCCGACGGCTTCGACATCATTGACATGTCAGCAGGAGGGCAGCTTCACATAGACCAACGTCGTAACCTGGGATCCGTTGCAAAGATGCTGCAGCATGCTGCTGCCAATAAACTGTTTGAGGGCGAGAATGCACACATGACTCCAATGAACAACTACATATCTCAGACATATGAGAAGTTTAGGTAAGAAAGGAGGAATTGTATTTTCAGAGAAGTTAAATTGTGTATAGTAGCTGCCACAAAGGTTCTATAAATACTTTAGCTCATGGCAGTACTGAGCATAGATAAGGACAGGGCAACTTAATTATATACAGTACACTCAGTCAGGGCTTGGGGAATCAAGCTAGTGGTACCATGAGACTTGGTCAGTCCACTACACGCTGCCCGTCCCTTCCTCTCCCAACTCTGTTATGCTGCCTCTGCTGCTACTACCCACCCCTTCGGGTTATTATCCATTACTACAAAAAATAAGAATGCTACAAAACTTAGTCAAGCAGAAATAACGTCAAGTTGGCCAATAGAAGTTCTTGCTCTAAACCAAACTCGGGTTTTTGTACCATTTGTGCAGTGTACACCATCTCAGCTAATGCAGCAATCAGGAGCTTGCTAGCCTGTGAGTCATCCGTAGCGATGTCTGAAGTGTGAGAGGAGCAATAGACCACAAGTTTGTTTGCATATTGTTTAAGCAAACAGAGCTCCCACCCCTGACATTGGCCTTCTGTGATTGGTTAGGAGGGCAAGCCTCACTCAGAAGCCTCTAGAAGGGGATATTTCTATACTGCTACCAGGCTGTTCACTGGGTCTCGGTCACAGAAGCCCTTGACAGTCCCTATTCACATTAAGATGTGCTCTGGAGCATATTTCTACCAAAAAAAAAATAAAAAAAGTTACATACATAGTTGTAGAGGCAACTCTGGCAAACTAATTTTCTGCCAGTGATTATGGTAATGGACTATACAGTGGCAAGAAAAACTATGAACCTTTTGGAATTTCATGGTTTTCTGCATTAATTTGTCATAAAATGTGATCTGATCTTCATCTAAGTCAAGAGTACTGACATATGTGTCTAACGCAAAAAAATCTGATCTTTCATGTCTTTATTGAGCACACTCATTCAACATTCAAAATGGTAGTGGAAAAAGTAAATGAACCCCTGGAGTTAATAACCAAACTTCAGGCGTGCAGCGATGTTCTTTTTAGTAACCAGCAGCTTCCTTCGTGGTGTCCTGCCATAGACAACCTGCTTGGTCAATGTTTTACGTACTGTAGACTCATGAACACAGATGTTAGCCAGTTGTTTCTTTACCTCAGTGATGAGTCTTTGTTGTGCTCTTGGGGTCATATTGACTGGGCGCCCACTTCTTGGTAGAGTAGCCACTGTGTGTCTCCATTTGTAGATTGTTTGCCTAACTGTAGACTGGTGAAGTCTTTGAAATCACTTTGTAACCCTTTCCATCTTTATGTAAATCAACAATTCTTGATTGTAGATCCTCTGAAAGCTCTTTTTGGTGAGACATGGCTCACATAAGTGTATTCTTCTTGTGTGGAGCAAACTCAAAAGGTTTGAATGGTTTTTATCAGTCAAAGTAGCTCTAGTCCACACCACCAAACTCATTTTCTTTAACAAGACTCCAGGTATGCTAACACCTGACTCCAATTAGCTTTTTTGAGGTGTTTCACTCAAGGGTTCACAAACTTTTTCCACCATGAGGTTTTTATGGTTCTCAATAAAGACATGAAAGAACAGAATTTTTTTGTGTTATTATTTTAGACACATTATATATGTCAATAGTCTGACTTAGATGAAGATCAGATCACATTTTATGACAAATTAATGCAGAAAACCATGAAATTCCAAAAGGTTCACATACTTTCTCTTGCCATTGTATATGCAAGCAGCCTCCTCTGTTGTACAAAGCCTTGATTCAGTATACCACGCATTTGTTTCATTACAAATGCAAAGTCTCTTACTCACCACTGCATTCTTTATAAGTTAGTGGAAGGAACATCACTGACCCCTTCGTACACAACAGCACTAATACATTTTTATTTATAAAGCGATACTGGTTAAACCTCTAGCTTATCTTTGTACCTTTTTCTGTCTTAGCTCTGGTGGTTACTAGCTACGTTCTTCAATGTGGTTGCTTTTTAATGTACTGAATTTTTACAGATCTGCAGCAAACTGCTTTCTCTTACTATGCACCTTGATCGTGGAATAACTTGCAGAAAGAGCTAAAGTTAGACACATTCATATCTATTGTAGAAATTAAGGACATCAAAGAATGTGGTGAAGGAGACGTGTAGCTTTTTCTCTTGATTGTCCATTGTTTTTATCTTGTGAATGGAATTTTTATTTGTGTTGAATTTTAACACAAGCCTCCCCTGAAAAAGAGATCTTGATCTCAGTGGGACTTCCTGGTAAAAGAGAGGATTAAAAAAAGGGAAAAGGTGCTATATCACTGGCTGGGTGGCGTAGTCACAAAAATAAACCAAACTCCACACAGACTTGTTCACAAATAAAAATGTGTGCAATTTCCTCCCCCCACATCACCAGAGTGACTGACTCATCGTTTCTGGAAATCCACACAAACCAAAATCTATTTTCTGGACATAAGTCCGTATGAGCAGTTTACCCTAGCTCACACAGAACTCACTAACATCGAAGACAATTGACCATTTTGACTAAAGAGTCCCTTTTCCCTTCCCACTTTATTATCTTCCTCAGTATTTGAGGCTCAGTGACCAATAACCACTAACTGCTGGTATTCTTTCCTTCCAGGGTATTTTTCCAGTCAGCATGTGATGTCCCTGAACCTGAGGAGAAGTTTAATATCGATGAATATTCAGACATGGTGACCCTGAGCAAACCTATCATCTACATCTCAATAGAGGAGATCATCAACACACATTCGGTAAACCCAAGCAAAATGAATCTCTTGATATGCTTACTGTCTACCTTCCTACAAATATAAGCACTCTGATCCACTGTTAAATTCCAACTGAAAAAATGATTTGTCCTTTGTTGTTAGGCTTGATCCACTGTTAAATTCCAACTGGAAAAATGATTTGTCCTTTGTTGTTAGGCTCTGTCATCATCTTGTGCCCAATGTTAATGCTTTTTTTTAATCACTTGTTTCCTCACACAGCCACTTCTGCCACCATCATGCTTGCTTTTCTTTACATTTCCCACTTTCTTGGAAACATTTTGTCATTAGGATAAAGCCATCAGTTTCACTTTATACACACACACACACACACACACACACACACACACACAGGAACTAACAATGGAGATGACGTGTGTGTTGGTTTGGACAGATGTTCTGTCAGCCTTCAAGATAATGTAATCATTTCCTGTCGCTGTGAAGATAAACAAAAGCTGCGTTTACAGTTTACCTGTATTAAGTGTAGGCCCTAATTGAGTGTGTTTGTGCTGTTTCTCTGAGGATAAATTTAATAGAATTCATCACGTTGTCACAGTATTTTTCAGTGACTAATTTTGCAGTAAATATTTAAGCTTTTTGTGCGAGACTGATCACATCTGTATTTGTTCAGCTGCTTTTGGAACATCTGGAGGCCATCTCTCCAGACCACAATGACTTGCTGCATGAACTGCTGCAGGACCTGGGAGACGTCCCTGATGTAGAGGCATTGCTTGGTATTGTCAAACAAATTTTTATTTATACGAATCACAAGTTGTCTATTGTGTATTTATCGTTTTCACACACTGCTGGTTAATTTCAGGTGAAGGAGCAGTAGACCCAAGTGACCCAAACAGAGAGAGCGCTCTGAGCCAGCTGGTGAAGACAGAGATCTCCCTCACACTAACCAGCAAGTTTGAGCTGCTGGAGGGAGATGACAAAGACTTGAAAACTCTCATGACAAAGTAAGTTCACTGTTGGCGGTTGCCAAGACAAAATTCTTCTTGTGAAGTCAACTGTCAGACTTGTTCACTATCACAATTTCATGTTGTAATCCTTTTGAATTCTTAAGTATGAGAATATATGAATAATCTTAGTGTTTAGTCATGCAGGCACAATTGTTCTTACTGAATCACACTAGCTCAGAAGTACTTAACATTTCTGTTATCAAGCCTAGCCTGATATGAATGGGGTAGACAACATAATAAAGAAACAACTGTCAGTATAATGCAGTACAGTTCAACAGCACCTCAAGCTCCAGCAACTCTGAAACAGGCTTCAACTAAACTGAACATTGCCACCTTTATGAAAGGTGGATTTACTGTATTGTAGTTCTGTTGTATTAGGCTGCATTAGTTTAGCTAGGTGTACCAAATAAACTGCCAACTGAGTGTACAGTTTGGGATTGCTATGAACGCTGTGTGAACATTTCATGATGCCACATGTGTTTTCTTTGTGGCTGTCACTCAGTAGCATGTCTGTCGTTTTTCCTGCCCTTCTATCATTTCCTGTCCTAAAGGGAAGGGGGTTTGGCGGTCAGGGTTATCTTATGTATAAACATGTATCCGTTGGATAATTTTCTTGTATTGGAGAGTTGGTCTCTTCTAAGTAGTAAAATATGTGACTGCAGAATGTGCAAGTGTAATCTAAATTTGTTTGTAATTGAAAAATGTGTTTGACTGTGGCAACCAGCTATGTAAATAGAGTATGGAAATCCCAACCTGTAAGCCTGGCCTAATATGGCCTGTTGATCTTAGATAGGTTGGTCGTGCTATTGGATCAAAGCCTGCGACAAAAACAAATCATATATTCCATTGCTTGTGTTGAAACTTCCACCACGTCAATGTAATCTGTTATGTAGCTTTTTCAAACAATCACGAACTAGTTGACAAACTTAAAGGAGTTTAAGGTGGTGACGTTACTGTGAGAGTCAAAGAGTGTTTTTCTTTTTCTCTGAGGAGATTTTATGATTGAAAGTGGGGAAAGTTCTCAGTTTCACAGAGAAAATGGATTTGTACTTTGTGGTGACTAGTGTGTTACATGTCTGAATACTAAGAACACTTTTCCCAGTACAGTGTGTTCTGCTTTCAGATGACAGTAGTCGTATTTTTGCTGACATTACACAAAGAGAGGTCCGACTCTCAAAGCTGATCCTTTTTCTGCGTATGTGCACTAGGACAAAAAAGCTTATTGTGGATGTGGTTCGGATTCAACCTGGAGAGTCTCTGCCTGAAATTCTTGATACACCAGCTAGTGCACCACAGGTAGTCTTTTCTTTTACCTTGCTTTCCTCACCCAGGTATTCAACTGCCATTTCAGTTTATCAAAGGAACATCTGCAACTAATTTTGGCCTTTGTTTGCAAGCCCTTGAGCTATTCTAATTTGTGCACTTCTTATTTTCTGAAGGAGTTGGAGCATACAAAGATTGTCGAGCGCCGGGCAGTCCAGGATGCTCAGACACCAGAGGGCCTGAAGAGCAGTCCGGCGGTGCTGGAGGACAGCCAGCTGCCTCTAGAGCAGAAGAAGAGGAAGATCCAGAGAAACCTTCGTAACCTGGAGCAGGCTGGCCTGGTCACTGCTAGTAACAAATACCAGGACATCATCAATGACGTATCAAAGGTTCACAAGCAGTTCTTTTTTTCATAGTGCTAACTTGTAAACAATCTGTTAGGTCTGTACAGCTTCTGAATTTGTAAAACTTGTCACTGACAGGACATTCGCTACCAAAGACGCTACAGACAGAGGAGGAAGGCAGAGCTTGTGAAGCTCCAGCAGACCCTGACAGCGCTCAACTCAAAAACCGCCTTCTACCAAGAGCAGATGAACTATTATGATACTTATATCAAGACCTGTCTGGATAACCTCAACCGGAAGTGAGTTGTTCTTGTATTTCTTACACCTCATTAGGATGAAGGATTTACTAAATAATTCTTATCACTCTAAAATAAAATGTTCTGGCTTCCTGTCATTTGTATTTGTATGATTTGTTGGATGTGGCAAGAATTCTTGTGCCCTTCCATAATGTGTTACTGTGTTTTGTGTGTCCAGGAATTCACGCAGATCTATAAAACTGGACCGCAAAGGAGATGATAAGAGCAGTAAGAAGTCGAAGTCACAGTCTTTGAAGTACACTGCAGCAAGGCTGCATGAGAAGGGAGTCATCCTGGAGATAGAAGGACTTCAGACCAACCAGTGAGTTGAGCTGTTCACAGCTATCAAACAAGACAGGCCAGTTAATGTTGCCCTTTGTCACTGGTCAGTTGCAGTTATGCAGCCTGTAGTGAAAATTCTATGCTGCGACATGCAGAGAAACCAGCCAACCCTCAGCATCACTGCTGCAAATTAGAACATGTCACCTTCCACTGTTAGTCAGAAACTATGTACCATATCAGAAAGAAAACAACCATTGTGTAGTCTGTGCAAGCCAAGCACAGTGAAACAGCTTCATACATGTAGTGTATTTGTTCAAGAATCTGTAGTTTCAGTCATAATGTAATTTACAATAAGGTCCCCTTCAGAATATTGGGATTTTTACCATGAACTTGTTTTGATATAGGAAAATTAGGATGGTTCTTGACTATCTGCCTTTTTGTGTAGAAAATACACATTATAATTTCCTAAACACAAAGTGATATGTTCAAATGCAGCTGTGCTTAAATGAAAATGTGAAGTACTTCCTGTTAGGACTAATTCACAACAAATAGATGATGAGCTGATGATGATTATCCAGTTTTCCCCTGTGTGCTGTGTTGTCATTATTAAGACCTTATGGCTGTGTCTCTCTCAGGTTCAAGAATGTAATGTTTGACATCTCACCTGCTGAGGAAGTTGGGGATTTTGAGGTGAAAGCCAAGTTTATGGGAGTTGAGATGGAAAAAGTCCAGCTTCACTTCCAGGTAACCAATTCTCAAAATAAAGCAGCTGACTGGTCGACGTTAAAATGTGAAGACATGGTTAAATTTAGTTTCCCTCACCAGACTACTAGCAGGAAATGCGGCTAAAAGGAAGAAAATGTTTTCCCATTCAGACTACAGTAATGACACGTAGTGATACATGCTCTATTTGTGTATCGAATATGAAAAGTAAAAATAGATGTACCACCCATGGTGTATTAATAGATGTCTTTACACAAGAGACTGGGCTGTAAATCTAGAGTTATAACGTTTGGAGACAATAGCTACCGTACTAGGCACTGTTATTCAATTTATAGTCATAGCAACAGTCAGTCCTCGCTACTTACATTGCATGTAAACCTGCCACATTTGTACGTTATCTATAACAAGGATGACCTGACAAGGATGGTTTGTTTGTGTTCCTCATGACATCTTTGGTATTTCATGTCCAGGACCTCCTTCAGCTGCAGTATGAAGGCGTGGCTGTCATGAAGATGTTCGACAGAGCCAAAGTGAACGTCAATTTGCTCATTTTCCTCCTAAACAAAAAATTCTATGGAAAATAAGAACAAGAGGAAACAGACTGTGCCTTCTGACAGTACAGAGTTTGTTGAACAAAATTAATTCAGTCAAAGTAATCATTTGATGCATCACTTAAAATAAAATGTTACTGTCCCGTTAAATATATCTGTTCTGTTTTCCATGTGATGATTGTAAATGTAATGTATTTTTAAAGAATTAAATTGTAATGTTTTCACTGTTTTGTATGTGAAAGATAATAGGAAACACACTTGTTGATATTGTGTACATTGAAAAAGCTTTAAGGGTTTGGGGACAACAGCACTGTGTATCCACTGCTCAGCTAGGCTGCATGGCCATATGAAATACGTTTACCAGTGCCTGAATAAGTTTAAAGACACTTGTTTTAATTAATAAAACATTTAAAAACTTTTAAAAGCTACAGATATATTTTAATGTATTATCAGTATATGAGATTCATAATTCTTGAACGGTGTGCATAATAAATTTCACATGTCCAAAATGATTTGATGCTTATTCTCATGTTTCATCAGTATTAATATTATTTTTGCTTTTAATCCTTTCGTCAGTGCGTTTCCTTCATTTCTCTGATAGGGAGGAGATGGGTGCAGGGAGGAAGAGGCGGAGCATCCAAACAGGATTGCAGTAACATGCATCATGCTGGCAGAAAAACACTGAAGTCTTTTCTCACAAACAATTTTAACACATAAGGTGTAAAATATTTAGTAGGTCTGCTGTGCGGTAAAGCCATGGCTCACCTGTCACTTGGGTTACTGGTGGTGTTTTCTCTCAGGAGCTCAGCACTTCTCTCCCAGAATGGTAAGTCACTTCTTTGATGACAGTTTTGTACAAGCTCATGCACTGCTGGGTTTTACAAATGCAAGATAGCGCAACATTTATTATATTTACCACCCTTCTGATTGAAAATAAATGGTGTCCCCCTGTTTAAACAGCTGCTTCAACTGATGGATACGTAGCTCATTATGTCAGGTTAACTGTATACAGGAGGGTGGACTACTGGGAATGCTTTTTACACAGCAATGACACAACAAGCCTGGACAAGTGCATTTATTTTAAAATTATGCGAGTAACTTTCAATTTTGTCAATGTTTAGCTGATCACTTAAGTAGCAGGTCATGGACCGTGGCAGAAACACTTATTCTAAATTAATATATCTGCAGATATACCCACAACTTTGCAGGCTAGGATTTTACCTGCAAAACATGAGCAGCTTATAATATAGGGTGAATTACTAGACTAAAATAGTTAAAATCAGCTCCCCTGTGACATTTAAATATTGCTTACTTAATGCATTAGAAACAATCCAATAATATAATAAAGTAGACATTTTACATAAAGAATACTTTGAGTATTTTGCTGCTAGTAAAGACGTCGTAAGTACAGTATGCAAATACTTTTCAGTACCACTGTTCAAGGTTAGATTATTAAAGGATCACCGGGGGAAAAAAAAACCCACTTCCACTAAGCCTCCTGTTTGTTTCTCTGTTGCCTGCAAAGTTAACAATGGTGTTTCCCCAAGTGCTTATGTCAGAAAAGAGCATTTACATAAAATCATCTGAAAATAAGGTTGGAACCTTCTGATGTATTCTGTTCTGTTTCCCTGTGTCTCTGTAAAGACTCAGTGTTCCACCCACGGACGTTTTCTGGTCATTTTGTATTGGCCACTGAGGAGCCAGCAGACTATGTTGACCTGTCACTGATAGACAGTTTTAGTGATGACATGGAGTCTGGCTCCGGGTCGGATGAAGAGTCGGTGAAAAGAGGTCGCCATCGTCCCCAGAAGCACTATTTTGTCTCCGAGGAAGCTAAGAGTTTTCTTCAGGGTCATCTGACAACAAGCTTTGTCCCAACTGTTTACACATTCATCTTCATAATTGGTGTGCCCCTCAACCTTGTTGCCATGGTAATGTTTGTGCACCACATTCGTCCCAGAAAACCGGCAGTGATCTACATGCTGAACCTGGCCTGTACTGACCTGCTGTTTGGCCTGCTCCTCCCCTTCAAGATTGCCTACCATTATCATGGCAACAATTGGACCTATGGCTCCTTTATGTGCAGAGTTGTCACAGCAGCCTTTTACTGCAACATGTACTGCTCTGTCCTGCTCATGATGTGCATCAGCGTTGATCGTTTCCTGGCTGTGGTTTATCCCATGAACTCGCTGACGTGGCGCAGCTCTCAGACAGCTTCAGCTGTGTGTGCTGCCATGTGGCTTTTAGCCCTCGGAGGAGTGTCTCCTCTGCTGATCTCAGAACAGACCATCTATTTGTCAGACCTTGGCATCACCACCTGCCATGATGTGCAGGATGTAGAAAAACTACAAGTGTACTATCGCTACTTCTTCCCCATCTACTCCTCTGCCTTCTTCTTCAGCCCCCTGGTCTTCACTGTTGTCTGTTATGTACGTATTATCCAGGCCCTGGCAGCAGCCAATGTGGAGAACCGCTCCAGGAAGACTCGGGCCATGGTGATGGCTGTGACTGTGCTGGTGGTGTTTGTGGTCTGCTTCACCCCCACCAACATCATCCTCATGATTCACTACGTTCCGTTGTCCCATAGCTCCAGTGACAGTTCCTACCAGGCGTACCTGCTCTCCATGTGTCTAGGGAGCCTCAGCTGCTGTCTAGATCCAGTCCTCTATTACTTTGGCTCCTCTCAGTGCCAGAAGCAGGTGGCAGCACTATTCAGATGTAGGCAACTGGCAAGGGCAGCGAGCAGCTCAGAGACGCAAAGTACAAGAATCAGCAGGCGGACAGACAGCAACAGGTTGTGCAAGATGGAGAGTGTTCAAACTGGCTTGGGAAGCCATTACAGCAAGCTGGTGGCTTGAAAACATAGACATGAAGTTGAAAACATAGACATGAAGAGACTTTGCACACATACCCAAGGTATAATACACAAGTCTGTATTTGAATCAGTACTTAATAAAGACATGGGTAGGATCACAGGCAGGTGTTGCTTGTAGCCTGCACTGTACAGCAAATTTTCCGGGGTATAGAAGCTGAGCATATTTGTACTTAAATTAGCTTAAATTGGATGTATAATTGTTGACATTAAAAGCTACATTTTGTTATTTTGTAATCATACAATACGGACCGATTAAAGGAAAAGACTGAATAATGAGTGGTCTCCTCAAGGATGCCAGTGAAGTTGAAAAAGAATCATATACTATGACCTTTGCAGTCACCAGATCTCAGCCCAGCTGAACACCTATGGGAGATTTTGGACTGATGTGTTGGACAGCATCTCCACCCCCATCATCAAAACACCAAATGAGGGAGTATCTGTTGGAAGAATGGGGTTCATCCCTCCAGTAGAGTCCAGAGACTTAGATAGTCAATGCCAAGATCTGCTCTGAAGCTGTGATGGTGGCACACAGTGGCCCAGCACTTTACTGAGACACTTTGTTGGTTTTTCTTTAATTTGTCACTTGTTTCTTTATCCCCCTCTATGAGAGTTGTGCTATATGTTGAATTAATTTCACAGCTCACGTCAGGATCCTTTCTGCCATTCCTTTCAGATTTTTGTTTTGTATACCTGTTTGAAATTAATCACTGGAATTAAACAATACATAATACCTAAACAACTGCATTTCCTGAAGAAAATGCATGTAGATGCTGATTGCTGAAGAATTGCCCTGAAAATGCTGAAATGTTTATATATTATATATATATCTATGTGTCTACTGCTTGCTGGTTTCAGGATTCACATGTTAAAAAAGCCAGAGTAATTAATGAAAACATCACGACTCTGTGGCTAAGTGAAGCCTGAAATATGGAGCCTCCTGAAACCAGCACAGTGGCAAAACGGAGAAAGGTAATGAAGAAAGCTGAGTTCTCTAAAATAAAGAGAGTTCTCTAAATAATATGTATTTGTCTTATACTTGTATAGTGCATTTCTGTGCTTTATGCTGGCTTTCACACTACTTGGCCATTCACCCATTCGTACTCTCAAGCTCTCACACATTGACTGGACAAACCGGGAATCCTCCTGAGCCACCCCCATGACACCAGTAATTACAGGTACCTTCCTCCGTGTTGCCACTATGCTGGTTTCACCATGGAGCCATGATGTTTTGATTAATTACTCTGACTGGCTTTTTTACATGTGTAAGTTTTTCGAGGACAGTGAAGTCCAACTCCTCTCCAGAGAACATCGCTGGTTTGAGAGAGGAGTCGAAGCTATTTTTGTCCAAATAAAACACCCCTCACTTAATAGGGGTGGTGGTCTAAGACACAACTTGTCTTCCATCTACAACTCTGTTTTGAGATGTCTGCCCAAACATGCCCACCAGGACAATAGGCGTTGGTCCACAGGGGAGGATTCAAAGACAGGTAATGACTCTCACCGATACTGGGATATAACGACTCAGTTGTTAAGGGACATTGTTGGCCATCAAAGGACTGAAACACCACCGAGGGGGATAAATATCTCCAGCTCAACACCAGCCAGTCAGAACTGATGAAGCCTCTTGGATGAGAGGTGAAACGTATTCAACCTAGAAATCTAGTCCAGTTGATTTTTTCTAAGTTTTTTCAGTTTACTATGACCTGGATGACTGAGAATCTGCATGGACATGTGTAAGTTTTGCACATAGAGTAAAAAGCATGGGTGGGCTTAACCTGAGTAAACTTTCATCTCGTAACTAACTTTCAAATCACCTTTCACCACTTTCTTCATCATGCCTTTTACCGTGTTGTGATCTGGTGCTATATAGAAAATAAAACTAAATAAAATTAAACTGACCTTTAAGGGGGGGCAGGGTGCCCCCCTAATATTGCTGCAGATTAGATCCGAAACACTGACAGTGATATTCATATATCTTTCTGTTAGAGCCTCCAGTCCTACTGGGAATGCTGGTGTTAGGGCCCTTCGTGTACGCCAGAGGCCCTCAGCTGCAGCACTGGATGGACATGGTCAACACTCCACAGGAGCTGGTGAAGCTGCGGCATGGATTGGGCAGAGCCATTTAAGCAACTGTTAGGTATTTTTAGTTAGATAGATATTGGTTGGATACTTGATGTATTAGAAATATTTAGAGTAGACAGGATGTCTAGGTCAGGCTGTTAAATGCTTAGTCATTCTCATGGAGTACTCCAGGTTGTTTATGTTCAAGGATAACTAGATAGAAAGTTGATTGTTGTTAGGAGACAGAATGTTTAGTATTATTGTTATGACGTGTTTAATCATAATCGTAATCATAATATTTTCTTATGCTTAATGTCATGACATGTCACTAGATGTCATGTCAGAATGTCTTAGATACACACCACACAATCAACAGACAATCACACATGGATTTTCTTCATGTTTTGACTACTGCTATGGTCAGCTGCACAGCTGGCACTGGGAGACGTCACGGTTTGGCATCCCTGAGTAGTATGGGCTAGCCCAAAGTGATATAATGTATAGGCCTGTTATGGTTCGGGGGCTTCCGGCTGCCTGCGTGCATGTTGGAGGTGCAAAGACTCCTGAGCGTGTAATGTTAATTTTACCTGTGATCATTGAATAAATCAGCACTGTTTTGAAGTTACTCGGACTGCTTCGTCTCTCAGAGTTAACGTGGTGAAAAGAACGGGGGTCAACACAACCAAACGAACAGATCCACAGACTCACATGTGCATGTACATACACACAGAGTCTGAAATAATAGAATAAAAGTGCTAATAAATGTGTTCATTGTTAGTAAAACGCCTTGAGGGGATTTTAATCTGCCATAAAAGTGTGTCTAGATGAAAGATGTGTTTGTAATCGCATGTTATTTTTACTTTATCAGTGTGTGCACAGCAGATATTTCAACGCTGGCGCCTGAGAAAGGTAGGTGCTGTCCCCCACCGCCCCCTAGTGCGCATGTGCACTGGATCCCAGAATGCGGAAGCAACCCCGGAAGAAAAAAAAAATTCTGCTAAAAGGAGGGCTAAACATAACATAAGCCTGAGTCTAACCTGAACCCTAAAATCAAGTGTTAACCTTCACACAGCCCTCTGAAAGAGAGGATCAGCTGACATGTCCTCACTATTAAGGTATAAAACTCAAACTGGTCCTCACAATGTACAGTACAGATCATACACACAGACAATGCTTGTATCCCTAATATTCATGGTACGCACATGGCTCCTCAAACACACACTGGTCAGTTGTCAGTTCTACCAAGTATTGTTCCAAAAAAGACCTCAGAAAATTTACAACATACTGTTTTAAATAGAAAACTGTCAACTCTCCAGTGATGTCAAGCACAATAAAATTTCCAAGTAAAACACAACTTCAGAACACTTTCAAATAGCCTTTCTCTTTTTGTGGTATGTGTCAGCCACCACCTCTTTTTCTGCTGCTGTTCACTTCATTTGCTCATTCAGCCAGTTTCTCAGGGTTCCTAGGTTTCTCTGAACCCAGCGGACATTTTTCCGCACATTATCCAGAGCAATCTGAACAGTTCTCAGCTGAGACGTCTGTTCCTTGATGGACTCAAAGAACAACTGCACCTACGGGTCAAATACACACAAAATTACACAAACACAAAAAAGGACACAACTGAAAGGTAGACAAAAATGTAAAAATTCAAAGACATTTTTCCTTTTTGAGATAAAGTCACAACCTTATACTGGCAAAATGGATCACACACTTGTTAATACTTAGGGTTTATAGATACAGTTTGACTTATTTAGGCCAGAACCAAAATATTTTACTGAAAACATACTTTTAAATGAGTACAAATACAGGTATAAATAGGATGAGTTTCTCTGGCATTTTCAAGTGATTTCCTAACACCACACTATAGCTAAAATGTATCATTAATTTGATGCTTCATCGGATTATGTGCAGGAATAAACATATCGGTCAACTTTTGGAAAATAATGCCAATAGAAATAATATTTATGTTTTGCCAGTTTCAGTGTCAGGTAATAGAAATAGCATGTTAGTGTATTGGTGAATATCTAAACTGCCTTTTAGAATTTAGAATATAGTTTGAGATTTAAGAATGTATTTACTTCAGTGAGTTCCTCTGGAGATGAAAACTGGCCTGTGGTGCCGATGAGGATGTTTCTAATACAAAATGAACCCAACTGGAACCTGCAGGTCAGAGAGAAAACAGAGAGGATGGTTACAAACACGTACATCCTAATATATATAAATAATCTACATACTGTATACAGTAGACATTATTCAGGGCTTTCATTGTTGTGGCATCAACTACCCATTGAGTTACTTTTGGTATATTCGGGTCCTTATCAAAAAATCATCTAAATGACATAAAAGCCACCAAAAAGCAGATTTTTTTCTGGTTTACACAAATTTGCATACAACTCACACAACCAGTAAAAAGCACTTTCTGAACATATTAGTAAAATACTGACATTGTAGGGACAACAGCATTTTCAGAGCATCACATGGTTTGATACAGACAGGGTCATCCAATGTGTCTCTATTATACTATACTAACTTCTGAACCAGCAAATCCCAGTTCTTTTTGACAAAGTTCCAGGCAAGGTGATGTCCCCGCGGGTTTCTGGCCACCATCAGGATGACGGCCGACAGGTCCTGCAATCGAATCACCTTCCCTTCTAGACCCATATCCAGCAGCCTGCACACACAATCAACAGACAATCACACATTGATTTTCTTCATGCTTTGACTACTGCTATGGTCAGCTGCAAAGCTGGCACCAGAGACGTCACGGTTTGGCGTCCCTGAGTAGTATGGGCTAGCCCAAAGTGATATAATGTATAGGCCTGTTATGGTTTGGGGGCTTTTTGTCCATCTTCCGGCTGCCTGCGTGCATGTTGGAGGTGCAAAGACTCCTGAGCGTGTAATGTTAATTTTACCTGTGATCATTGAATAAATCAGCACTGTTTTGAAGTTACTCGGACTGCTTCGTCTCTCAGAGTTAACGTGGTGAAAAGAACGGGGGTCAACACAACCAAACGAACAGATCCACAGACTCACATGTGCATGTACATACACACAGAGTCTGAAATAATAGAATAAAAGTGCTAATAAATGTGTTCATTGTTAGTAAAACGCCTTGAGGGGATTTTAATCTGCCATAAAAGTGTGTCTAGATGAAAGATGTGTTTGTAATCGCATGTTATTTTTACTTTATCAGTGTGTGCACAGCAGATATTTCAACGCTGGCGCCTGAGAAAGGTAGGTGCTGTCCCCCACCGCCCCCTAGTGCGCATGTGCACTGGATCCCAGAATGCGGAAGCAACCCCGGAAGAAAAAAAAAATTCTGCTAAAAGGAGGGCTAAACATAACATAAGCCTGAGTCTAACCTGAACCCTAAAATCAAGTGTTAACCTTCACACAGCCCTCTGAAAGAGAGGATCAGCTGACATGTCCTCACTATTAAGGTATAAAACTCAAACTGGTCCTCACAATGTACAGTACAGATCATACACACAGACAATGCTTGTATCCCTAATATTCATGGTACGCACATGGCTCCTCAAACACACACTGGTCAGTTGTCAGTTCTACCAAGTATTGTTCCAAAAAAGACCTCAGAAAATTTACAACATACTGTTTTAAATAGAAAACTGTCAACTCTCCAGTGATGTCAAGCACAATAAAATTTCCAAGTAAAACACAACTTCAGAACACTTTCAAATAGCCTTTCTCTTTTTGTGGTATGTGTCAGCCACCACCTCTTTTTCTGCTGCTGTTCACTTCATTTGCTCATTCAGCCAGTTTCTCAGGGTTCCTAGGTTTCTCTGAACCCAGCGGACATTTTTCCGCACATTATCCAGAGCAATCTGAACAGTTCTCAGCTGAGACGTCTGTTCCTTGATGGACTCAAAGAACAACTGCACCTACGGGTCAAATACACACAAAATTACACAAACACAAAAAAGGACACAACTGAAAGGTAGACAAAAATGTAAAAATTCAAAGACATTTTTCCTTTTTGAGATAAAGTCACAACCTTATACTGGCAAAATGGATCACACACTTGTTAATACTTAGGGTTTATAGATACAGTTTGACTTATTTAGGCCAGAACCAAAATATTTTACTGAAAACATACTTTTAAATGAGTACAAATACAGGTATAAATAGGATGAGTTTCTCTGGCATTTTCAAGTGATTTCCTAACACCACACTATAGCTAAAATGTATCATTAATTTGATGCTTCATCGGATTATGTGCAGGAATAAACATATCGGTCAACTTTTGGAAAATAATGCCAATAGAAATAATATTTATGTTTTGCCAGTTTCAGTGTCAGGTAATAGAAATAGCATGTTAGTGTATTGGTGAATATCTAAACTGCCTTTTAGAATTTAGAATATAGTTTGAGATTTAAGAATGTATTTACTTCAGTGAGTTCCTCTGGAGATGAAAACTGGCCTGTGGTGCCGATGAGGATGTTTCTAATACAAAATGAACCCAACTGGAACCTGCAGGTCAGAGAGAAAACAGAGAGGATGGTTACAAACACGTACATCCTAATATATATAAATAATCTACATACTGTATACAGTAGACATTATTCAGGGCTTTCATTGTTGTGGCATCAACTACCCATTGAGTTACTTTTGGTATATTCGGGTCCTTATCAAAAAATCATCTAAATGACATAAAAGCCACCAAAAAGCAGATTTTTTTCTGGTTTACACAAATTTGCATACAACTCACACAACCAGTAAAAAGCACTTTCTGAACATATTAGTAAAATACTGACATTGTAGGGACAACAGCATTTTCAGAGCATCACATGGTTTGATACAGACAGGGTCATCCAATGTGTCTCTATTATACTATACTAACTTCTGAACCAGCAAATCCCAGTTCTTTTTGACAAAGTTCCAGGCAAGGTGATGTCCCCGCGGGTTTCTGGCCACCATCAGGATGACGGCCGACAGGTCCTGCAATCGAATCACCTTCCCTTCTAGACCCATATCCAGCAGCCTGCA